GCATGTAGGGCGACATTGATGCTCCCGTGTGCAGAGTGATCCCTCACCTTTGTGTGGCTACACCTCAGAGAAGAGCATGCCTTTATTTCTTCCTGTGGTGATTATTTTTAAAGTTCATAACTTTAAAAGCCGGTAAGCAGAGGAAAACTTGCACAGAGCGGGTCATATGCATCTGAAAGCTGTCTGTGCCTAGGACCCAGTGTGCCAGTGCCTAGGCCATTCTGTTAGAGTGACACTGAGCTAGAAAACTAAGCTGGTTCTTTCCACATGGATTCGAAGCTCAAGTTCATAAAATAGGCCTGAGACAGGGCTAGGAGGCAAGCTGGGTCGCTGGCATCTCTCACAGGTCAGTGTGTAGCATGTAGACCGGAGGGTTGCACTTGCAGGAGCTGAGGCTTCCTGGCCTCCTTTCCTTGTTTAGTTTCCCATTTTTATGGTGTGTGTGTGTGTGTGTGTGTGTGTGTCTGTCTGTCTGTCTGTCTGTCTGTCTGTCTGTCTGTCTGTCAATATCCTTGCACGCTCTGAGAACATACCCCGCTTGGTCTCTGTTTTCCCTCTCAGGGAGCAGAAAGAAAAATCCGTGATGAAGAGAGAAAGCAGAACAGGAAGAAAGGGAAGGGCCAGGCCTCCCAAACGCAGTGCAACAACTGTGAGTCACCCCCACCCCCTGCTCAGACTGCTAAGGGGAGACTGCAGCCAGCTGGGTCCTTTGAGAAGACAGACAGAAGGAAGCAGGCTACAGGGGAAGGTGCAAAGCTAGTCTAAGACATGGCCTGCTTTGCCCTCGCAGAAGAGACTGGGTGCGTGGGTGGGGTGTCATTCATAGGCAAGCAAGCAGGTGTCTTAAGCTCAGGACTCAGGGGCTCAGGACTCAGGGCGTGCAGCAGGAGGTGAGAAGCCTTCCATCCACACGCAGTACTTTCTAGGAGCCCACAGTTTCTGTTTTGTTTATTGGGTCTGTTTATTGAAAGCCTTGTCATGTCGTGGATTTTGGCTAAGGCAGATTGATAGCCGAGACTTCTCAGACACACGGAACCCTGTTCACCGGCTTTGTGTTTGCACGCAGCCTCTGATGGGAAGTTGGCCGCCTTACCTTTACAGAAGAAGAGTGACATCACCTACTTCAAAACCATGCCGGACCTGCACTCGCAGCCGGTACTGTTCATCCCAGATGTCCACTTTGCAAACCTGCAGAGGACTGGACAGGTAAGACCCATGTTCACACCCTCCTGTCGCCCGGCGCGCCCTTGCTGGTGCTGTCTAACAGCGCTGGAAAGTCGGCACCATCCCGTATGAAAAAAGACTCGGGAGAGAATACTGACTAAGGCAAACAAAGAAAATTGTTGACAGAGCAACAGGAGAAAGCTAATCACCTGCCTGGAAGAAGTTGTGTTTTCCTGCACGTAGCTGACTCTATCGGGGCGCATATCGCCACCTAGTGGTGAGAAGTAAAACTGCATCAATAACGTCCCACACCAACCCAGCGGGGAGAAATTGAGACCCTGTCAACAATTTTTTTTTCTTAGTAAATTAATAGCTCTCATTGACTGTATAAATCAATTTGTCATCTGAATGATGAAAAAACATGTTAGATCTTCCTTCATAAAACTAAGTCCTATGGTTATGCCTCCAAATGAAATGAAGGACTTAAAACCAAACAAATGTTCAATAATAGTTGGGTCATGGTGACAGTTTCGTTATGCGGATGCTACAAGTTTAATGATGAGAACTGCGTATCCACAGGAGAGCTAGTTACGATGTTGCTCGATTAAAAACAAAATTAGGGTACCAGTGTGTCTGTGCCCTGTGCTCCGAAGCCACTAATTGAGCTGCCCACTGGCCTCGTATGTTAATTGATGGCTGAGCCCCCCCCCCCCCCCACACTCCTTTCTTCTTGAAAGTTGCTTAACTGTGTGGAGAAAAGAGGTTTCTTAGCACCCACCAGATCTGTTTTTGGCCACACTAACTGAGATTTTTAAAAATTTATTTATTCTTATATTATGTACATCGACGTTTTGCCTGCATGCATGTCTGTGTGAGGGTGTCAGATCTTGGAATTACAGACAGTTGTGAGCCGCCATGTGGTTGCTGGGAATTGAACTCAGGATCTCTGGAAGAGCAGTCAGTGCTCTCAACAACTGAGTCCCCTCTCCAGCCCTTCTGGCCATTTTTTTTTTTTTTCTTTTTCTTTTTTAAAAAAGCTCCCAAGCATGTAGCTGTACTTCACATGAAGTGAGGTCCCCATATCTTCCAGAAGGGCAGTAAATGAGTTAGACTGTCCTGCTGCTTGTCACGTCTCTGATTATCACCCTGACAGCCTGACGTAGTCCCTTGGCAAGATCTCTCAGAATCTTTAGGAAGATAGTGCCCCAGCCTGGCTGGCCTGACAATCTCACTCATCCCCTCAGTGTCATACCCAAGGCAGACTCTGAGGAGATGTGTGACCTTTTAGAGTTTGTCATCCTCACCAAAGCGGCCTAGCGGCTTGGTACTGCTTGGCCTGAGCCCCATTCACAGTACCTTTGGGTTCCCTGTGACCCTGGATTCTGAGTGAGAGAGTCAGAAGGGATCCTGCCTAGAGGTCCTGGCTGTCCTGTGAGCAGCCTGTTGTCAATCGCTTTGCATAGCAGAAGGACAGGACATTGGCTAGCTGGAGCTTTTAAAGGTTGCTTTCTGGGAAGAGCTAGATGCTACTAAGGAGGTCCCTGAGAGGCAGAAGAATGTCACACTGAATTTTGAGGTGGTGAGAACACAGTGTTAACATTTATGGCCTTCTGTTTAAGAAGAAACAAAATCCAATATAGCAAAAGTCATAAAAAAAAATCAGAACAAAAGAGTTCTTATACATATCCAAGCTGATGGCTAGAATGATTCAACCTGGGGCATTTCAGGTAGCTGTTATACACCTAGGCCTGGGATTGGCACACACCCCACCCCCACTCCCAGTGCTACTGGAAGCCTCTGAGAGGATATGGGAAGGGAGTAGCCTGGCCATTCCCAGCCACAGTGACAGCATTCGAAGAGATTACATGGATGTCCTATACTGACTTGGCTATTCTTGTCCACCCAAACACAAATGTCTCCACAGCACACAGATACAATTTCCCAAAGGCTCACTGTTAAGCTTTAGAAGTAACAGGGGCAAGAGGCTACACTTCCAAACAGACCCTGTACCCTGCCCCATCAGTTCAGAAAGAGGCTTCCCATTTTCTTTGCTTCTTCTTTTTTTGGGGGTGGGGTGGGGGAGGTTTGAGACAGGGTTTTTCTCTGTGTAGCCCTGGCTGTCTTGGAACTCCCTCTGTAGACCACGCTGGCTTTGAACTCACAGAGACTCGCTTGTCTCTGCATCTGCCTCTGTGCGTGCCACCACTGCCCAGCAGGAGGCTTTGAAATTTCTTTAATTCTGATTGTGCTCAACACTGAGCTCTCTTAAAGACACTTGTCCTTGGGGGATCTTCCTTTTGCCACGGTGACCTTTACAGTCTCAAGATGGCTAATGAATGAAAAAACCTGAAGTGAAAAGAGGGGACGTGACCAATTCTAAAGTAGCATGGAGAAGACTTTTACTGTAAGCGTAAGGGAGAAAGCAGGCAGAGAGAAGAGGCCAGGCTGAATATGGCCAGCAGACCATGAGAGGAGAGAGGGAGAGGGAGAGCCAGAGAGGAGTCTTCAACCAACAGATACAACCCAGGCTAACAGGCCAAGAGAACCACATTGCCAAAATGGCTGTTATATAGGGATCAGGCTGGGGGATGGGAAGCCCTTCGCCCTCCCCTGGGAGGGAGAGGTTTAGGGTGGGGTGCAGGCTGAGAAGTGCTGGGCAGAGCCATAGGTACTGAGGGATGCTGGGAGCACTGGCCAGCCTCTGCTGCTGATTAAATAGGCACCTCAGTTAGCCCCCTGGCCTTTGTCTGCTGCTGGTTAAATAGGCACCTCAGTTAGCCATTTGTTTCTTTAAGATCTTACATTTCTGTGGCTATGGGAATCCAGGGAAGGCCAGACCCCTTTGGGGAGCAAACACAGAGGCCCTGTTGCCGCCATCTCGCTATGGTTCACCTGTCTACCTTCTTCTGGTAGCGTGACGTCCAGAGCCAGCCCATCAATGGAGCTAGCGCAGCCTTTCCAAACCATGTGTTTAGATTTCAATAATGGATTTTCTTAACATCGGGGGCAACGTTTGGCAGAAGGGCAGAGTAATCTGGTTACCCCAGACTAGCTTTAGCTAGAAAGAGTGACGTTTCTGAGTTTACTTTATAAAATCTAAACATTATCTTTAGTAAGTATCATTTTGTCATGATGGAAATTTCCTTAGACACACACACACACACACACACACACACACACACACACACACACACACACAGAGAGAGAGAGAGAGAGAGAGAGAGAGAGAGAGAGTGAGAGAGAGGACATTGTTAGTCAAATGTATCTTTCTTCTTCTTGAGAGACAGTTTGTATCATTCCTGGTCTTATGTGTGCCTATTGTGTCCCCCGACAGGTGTATTACAACACAGACGATGAACGAGAAGGGTAAGACACGAGTCATTTCATTCTAAACACATAACGTTTGTATGGGTGGCCGTGCACCTTCTGGCCCTGGGCCACCCTGCGTGGGAGGCGGGGACTTTCCATGTGTCGTGACTTAACTGCCAAGGGGCCATCCTTTCTCCCTGCACACTCTTCTTCCTGCTCTCCTTCCTTCCTGTGATCTCCTTGCGATAAAAGTGACCCATCTTGGGCACCATTTGCTGGAATCTTTCTTTGGGGTCACATTGTTGACCCCAACACAAGATCTAGCTGAGAGCGTGAGAGCAAAGACAGCTCCCGAGGCCTTTCGCTACAGATTGTCCACTTTGACGGGGACCGAGCAGGTTGAGAATCTGTTTGCTGTCCCGTGGGCTTTAGAGAAGAGGTTGTCTCCCAGCGCCTTCCCCTTTTGTCTCTGTGTAACAGGGACAAGATGCTCTCCCTCTTTGCCGAGAACATGTGACCACCTGGAGATTTTCAGGGGCAGCTAAGTCTTCAGTGTGCTTTCTATCTTTAATTCGTTTGACATACTCAGAAGTATGCAGCCATAAAAAGGCTGTTCTAAAGCCATTGAGACAACACTTTTCAAGGCTGTAGTTACGCCTGTAGGTAGGTGTTGAGCCGTCTTTGCTTTCGGCGAGTATGTTCCCTGTGATACAATGTTCCCTGTGATACAATGCTAGTATGTCCCCTGTGACACAATGTTCTCTGCTCATGTTGTTTCTGAAGGCTGGATGGTTTTGGCTTTTAGAACTTAAAGGAGGGAAAGTGCACTTTGGCTCATGGTTTTTGGAGCAACTAACCGTGCTGGCTCCATTCCATTTGGGTCTGCAGAGCAGGGGGCGGAAGTTGTTCTCTCTCGTGTCCTGGAAACAAAAGGAGAATGTCTCTGCTAGTGACCAAATGCCCCCCTTTGTGCCATGCTCTGCTCCAGTTAATTAATTCTTTCTGGAAACACCCTCACAGACACACCTAAAAGCAAGTGTGCTTCACAAATCTCCTCAGGGTCTCTCACTCCAAATATACACACTTGAGATAAGCAAGTATCTCCTGTATCTATTGAACAGCTAGTAACTTCTGTCCGTTGGCTCTTGGTCTACTCTCTGGATAAGACTTTCCCTTCCTCAGCGTTCAAACTTCCTTTCCTCCTTGCAACTGATCTTAGTTAAAATTTCTTAATTACCCTTGTGGGGGGGGGGGCAAAAAATAAATAGATAAACAAGCAATGTGTATGGGTATTTTGCCCCTGTGCGTGTTTATGTACCCGTTGAGTGCTGGGTGCCCACGGAGGCCAGAAGGGCATGTTGGATCCCTGGAACTGGAGTCACAGATGATTGTGAACTTTTTCCTATGTGGGAATCAAACCCAGGTCCTGGAAGAGGAGCCAGCACCCTTAACCTCAGAGCCAGCTCTCTCCAACTCAACCACTAAAGCTTTTCTGGTCTTTGGAAACTTGGTTTTCAGGACAAACATGTTCGGGGGAACTCCCCTCTTATAAGCTGGATACTATGTTTTTCTCTTACAGCAAGTTCAAATTACACTCATTCCTCAATATCTATTTCATGCTCGTTGTTTGCATTAGTTGTATGTAACTAACAACCCAAGATTATTTTCTCCCCACCCATAGTCAGACCTAGGCTTTCTTCCTCATTCTGTTTAAGACACTTCAGGGTTGGGGAAGGGAGTGTTGCAGATACTGCTGACTCCGTTGTTTGAGCAGAAGTTGGCAAGTGACAGACTGAGGGACAGATCTTTTGTTGTGGGTGGTGGTGCATGATGGGCAGGGTCTCACTGTGTAGCCCTGGCTGGCCTGGATACTCTATGTAGACCAGGCTGGCCTCAAACTCACTGAGACGCACGTGCAGCTTCCTCCTGAGTGCTGGAATTAAAGGCAGGCGCCACCACACCCAGCCCCAGTGGCTGATTTTAAATAGGCTACAGACTAAGAATGGTTTTCAATAGTTTAAAAACCTCCCATGAAGACTGACATCCTGTCCCACGCTAACCGTTTCGCCAGCAAAAAACGACACGGGGACACTACTCAGGATCCTTCTTCAGTAAAGCTTTAATGCCTCTTGAGAGGAAGAGCATCAGCTTACAAAATGGAGACTCTGAACACCCAAAAACCCCTCCTTATATAGGCTGGCAACCGTCGCCTCAGACTGTTCCTTTTTTGACTGGCTGAAGCCCTCGGACCATATGACGTCAGCTGATCGAACCATATGATGTCACGGGAGGGGCGAAGACTAAGCTGGAGAGTTACAAAGTTACCTATTGCGCATGCGCAGAGCTTGCAACGGCTCCTAACATATGCACCAGCTTGTAATGGCTCCTAACAACATCCAGTGCCATGACGCGTGAAATGAGGTGCTCCTGAGTCCCCTGGAGAAATGTTTTCCTGGGACATATTAGTTCCCTTTATGTGTGGGGTCCATTGGTGGAACAGTAGCAGAGCTGATTGGTTACAACAGGAATCTGAAAAGCCTAAGTATTTGTCGTTGGGACCTTTTCAGAGAAAGCTTGCCACCTTCCATCTCAAAGGCAGTGAATTGCAAAGGAGTTAATTAATTAAATGGTCCTCAAGCTGCTTAGGGCGGGGACTTTGCCCAGGATCGAATCTCTAAAATCAGTTGTAAATTCTCTAAGTATCAATTAGAAAGCCACGCATAGAGGCTTGTGATGCCTGCAATCCCAGAAATCAGGTAGCTGAGGCGGGAAGGGCAAAAGTTTGAGGCCAACCTAGTGAACAAGGTAAAGCTCCTATCTCAAAAAAACAAAACAATTAGTTTGTTCTCTCTCTCTCTCTCTCTCTCTCTCTCTTTCTCTCTCTCTCTCACACACACACACACACACAATAATCAAATTTCAGTGGTTAGAACAAACAGAAATGATTGGGGTTCTAATCTCTTAATCACATATTTTATAAGGGTCAACATGGCGTCGTGAAAAGAACGTTGGCTCTGAGCTCAGAAAACCCAGGTCCATCCCCTGGACTACGGTTTGTTTGCATGAAACCTCATCTGGCCTCACGGTCCCTGGCATATTTGGTTTTCCTGGATCTGTCCTGAGAATGTTGTAGGAGGCTATCTCTTAGATCCCTGAGCACTTAGCATTTCACTTAGTAATTAATATGCCTGAGATAAAGTTCATGGGCAAACTTAGGGGAGTGTGAAGTGACCGTGCTCCCACCGTGTAGACCGCAGTCTCATTTCAGCCTGTCTTCTGCAAGCTGACTATGGTTAAGTAGCCAGTGACCTGCCTATAACTCCACTGGCACAGCCTCTCAGTCAGAATGCCCTGTGCTGTTGCCCAGGCATCCATTCTGAGACCCTGACCTGCACTTTTATACATCTTTTATATGTCTTTTATGCATTTTTATGCATGGAGCAGTATGAGCAGCCCTGGTGCCTTTCGTTAATGCATGGCAGGCATGTGGCTATTGCTGTGTGGATTCCTTGGCTGTGTACTGAATGCTTTATGTGTGGTATTTTCATATCTGCCATTGACGATGAGGAAAGGGGCTCTGAGAAGTCAGGAAACTCCTTCAGCCTCTAGCTGGCACGTGATTGAAGTGGCCAGGGAAGGGGGGGGGTGGTGAGCCAGTGCCTACCCATAATTCCGAGCACTCACCTGTAGCCAGCCATTGAGCCTCCCTTACTCCATCTCCTCAAATCTTGATCTGTGGCTGTGGAGAACACACGGGGTGGGAGTGGGTGGCAGATCCTACTGTGTGGTTTTCTGGCCTTCACCAAGACATGGCCTTGTTTTCATCTCATGAACACTCCTGGCAGAGAAGACAGATCTCTGAGCTCTGAGGCTACCAGGTGTGTTCACTGATCTAGCCCTGAGAGGGTCAGTAGCATCCTCACAGCTGCCGTCAGGACTAGGATCAGGCTGAGCTCCTCACTCTGTGACTCTGACTTAGCCTCCTGTTCCACTATGTAAGAAGCTGCTAAACTCCCCAGCAGTGCTGCGGAGGACTTGGCTCCCTCCTCTCTAGAAGTTTTTACCATAAGACCTAGGTACCTTGTTCCAATCCCTAATCTGGCTTCAGACGTAACACTTACTTTTCTGATGAATCTTAGTTTTGTTTGTTGATGTCAAGGGTCTTGTTTTCCTTCGGATGGAAGGAAATTCCACTTGCCCATGGCTGAAAATGCTGCTGGCCCTGAGTTTTTCTACCTGATGGCCAGTGGAATGGAGAAGACGTCAGAGACAACACGGTTCCATTGCTCTCTGATCTTTGAAAAATATCACACAGTGTCACTGTCCTGGGCAACACAAGACCTGCACCCTGTGCTCTTTTTATTGGAGAGTGAGCGAGTCATAGCTGCCTTGTTTGGTTCTGATTTGAAAATAAACAAAACCAGTGGATTCGGAACACAGAAAACTTACCAACCGCTCCTGGGTTTATAGATTTGATAGTGTAGGGAAGTGGTGTACTTGGCCTCCCAAGAGAAATGTGGTTTATCTGAGATACTATTTTAATGACAAAGTCTGCTGTGGCTTGGAATAAAAGGTGTTCTCAGGTCGGCTGAACTGGAAAAATGAAAATGAATCTTGCTTGGTGAAGTAGCTTGACTCTTACAAAGCATGAGAAGGTGTCTGGTAATATCTCAGACCATTTACCAGTTATTAGCTTAATGGCCCTTGGCTGCTATGTGAGTGAAGTTTTCCCCCTTTAAAAAAAAAAAAAATCTCATCTGTAACGAGATCTGGTGCCTTCTTCTGGAGTGCACTGTATACATGATAAATAAATCTTTAAAAAAGAAAGAAAGAAAAATCTAACAAAACAAACTACTATGGGGCTGGAGAGAGAGCTCAGGGGTTAAGAACACCGGCTGCTCTTCCAGAGGTCCTGAGTTCAATCCCCAGCACCCACATGGTGCCTCACAACCATGTACAGTGGGATCTGATGCCCTCTTCTGGCATAAAGGCATACATGCAGATAGAGTACTTGTATATAAAATAAATAATTAAAAAAAAATCTTCAAGTCCTAAGTTCATGGTCACTCCAGTTCCAAGACAGAGTGCTAGGACCTGCTTTTTTGACAAAGCATCCAGGACAAGACAGAAAGAGCCCTGATGTTTATTGCTGTCCTCAGCTGGGACTTGAGTTTTAGATTTTCCTCAGCTGTTTTCATTGTTTGACATAGAGGGGAATAAAATAAGGCATTGCTGGTTCTGGACTTCATTCTCTGTCCTCACCACGGTCTCAGGTTCTTGGGTAACCCTGTCATGAGTTGGTTACCCCGAAGGTGTCACGTGCTATAGCCTTTTTCCCTGTTAGCTGAATTACCATATGTAAGGCCGTTTTAACACTTGAGCCTTCTGTCATTGTGGACACAGGCTGGCTCTCAGACTGCTCATGAGACCTACGAGGGCAAGGAGGAGGAGGAGTGGGCTTTGTGAAGCCTGAACTTGTATGAAGGAATCTGATTGGCTCCTACGCCCTTTGGGATACTAGCATGAATAGGGATGGTTTTGGACTGTCCACACGTAGTGAGTGTGCCATGGGCTTTGATAACCCTTGGGTTTCTACTAACCTCACTTGGGAAGTGATGAGGAGCTAGCTCTCTGGGGGCAGGAAGTCCACTCAGGAGTCTCAGAGATTTGTGCTGTTTGCAAGACTGGAGTGAGTGCATGTCCATCTCCCAAACCAAGACCAAGTGGT